AAAATGAGCCCCCAGACCCAAAAGTGAACCCCCAGACCCAAAAATGAGCCCCCAGACCCCTCTGGGACCCCAAATCCTCCAAATTCCCCCCGATCCCAAACCCCAAATCCCACAAATCCCACAAATCCCACAAATCCCACAAATCCCACAAATCCCAAATCCCCCCGACCCCAATTCCACATCCCAAGTTCCAAAGCCCCCGAATCCCAAATCCCAAATCCCAAATCCCCCAAACTCCAAATCCCAAATCCCCCAAACTCCAAATCCCAACCCCGAATCCCCAATCCCATAAATCATCCCAGAAACGATCCCACAAATGATGATCCCAAATCCCAAAAACGATCCCAAATCCCACAAAGGATCCCAAATCCCACAAACGATCCCAGAAATGATCCCAGAAATGATCCCATAAATCCCATAAATAATCCCAAATCCCACAAACAATCCCATAAACGATCCCAAATCCCACAAAGGATCCCACAAATTATCCCAAATGCCAGAAACGATCCCACAAATGATCCCAAATCCCAAAAACGATCCCAAATCCTACAAACGATCCCAAATCCCATAAATGATCCCAAATCCTACAAACGATCCCAAATCCCATAAATGATCCCAAATCCCACAAACAATCCCAAATCATACAAACGATCCCAAATCCCATAAACGATCCCACAAATGATCCCAGAAATGATCCCAGAAATGATCCCATAAATCCCATAAATTATCCCAAATCCCACAAAGGATCCCACAAATGATCCCAAACCCCATAAATTACCCCAAATCTCATAAACAATCCCATAAATTATTCCAAATCCCACAAACGATCCCAAATCCCACAAATGATCCCACAAATGATCCCAAATCTCACAAATGTTCCCAAATCCCACAAACGATCCCAAATCCCACAAATGATCCAATAAATGATCCCACAAATGACCCAAAACCCCCATAAATAACCCCAAAATCCCAGAAATGACCCAAAACCCCCAGAAATGGCCCCAAAACCCCCATAAATGGCCCCAAAAGCCCCTCGGGGTGGCAGGGCATGCGCGGGTGCTCACCGGGGCCCTGCTGGGCCGGGGCTGCAGGGGGGCCCAAACCCCGAATCCCAAACCCCAAAAACCCCACAAATAACCCCAAAAACCCCAAAACCCCCAGAAATGACCCAAACCCCCAGAAATGACCCAAAACCCCCCGAAATGGCCCCAAAAGCCCCTCGGGGTCGCAGGGCATGCGCGGGTGCCCTGCTGGGCCGGGGGTTGCAGCAGGAACTGCAGGGGGGCCCAAACCCCAAATCCCAAACCCCAAAAACCCCAGAAATGACCCCAAATCCCATAAATGACCCAAACCCCCACAAATTACCCAAAACCCCCCGAAATGGCCCCAAAAGCCCCTCGGGGTGGCAGGGCATGCGCGGGTGCTCACCGGGGCCCTGCTGGGCCGGGGCTGCAGGGGGGCCCAAATCCCAAATCCCAAACCCCAAAAACCCCACAAATAACCCCAAAAACCCCAAACCCCCAGAAATGACCCAAAACCCCCTGAAATGACCCCAAAAGCCCCTCGGGGACGCAGGGCATGCGCAGGTGCCCTGCTGGGCCGGGGCCTGCAGCAGGAACTGCAGGGGGGCCCAAACCCCAAATCCCAAACCCCAAAAACCCCAGAAATGACCCCAAAAATCCCAAACCCCCAGAAATGACCCAAAAACCCCAGAAATGACCCAAAACCCCCCGAAATAGCCCCAAAAGCCCCTCGGGGACGCAGGGCATGCGCGGGTGCTCACCGGGGCCCTGCTGGGCCGGGGCCTGCAGCAGGAACTGCGCCGGCGGCTGCAGGGGCGGCCCGGGCAGCAGCACCAACTGCTGCAGCTGCAGCAGCTGCTGCACCTCCTGCGGCGCCGGCGGACGGACGGACGGACACGGGGACGGCGGGAGGGACACACGGACACCGGGACGGACACACGGACACCGGGATGGATGGATGGACACGGGAACAGCGGGAGGGACACACGGACACCGGGACGGATGGATGGATGGACACGGGGATGGACACACGGACACGGGAACGGCGGGAGGGACACACGGACACCGGGACGGATGGATGGACACGGGGACGGCGGGAGGGACACACGGACACCGGGACGGATGGATGGACACGGGGATGGACACACGGACACGGGAACGGACACGGGAATGGACGGACGGACGGACACAGGGACAGACACACGGACACGGGGATGGACATGGGAACAGCGGGACGGACAGACGGACACCGGGAACGGACACACGGACACGGGAATGGACGGACGGATGGACACGGGCATGGACACACAGACATGGGATGGACACACGGACACGGGAACAGACACGGGAATGGACGGACACACGAACACCAGGATGGACACGGGAACAGCGGGATGGACACACGGACACCGGGACGGACACGGGAACGGACAGACAGAGGGACACGGGAACGGCGGGAGGGACAGACAGACACCGGGACGGACACACAGACACCGGGACAGACACGGGAACGGACGGATGGATGGACACGGGAACAGCGGGAGGGACACACAGACACGGGGACGGATGGATGGACACGGGGATGGACACACGGACACGGGAACGGACACGGGAATGGACGGACGGACGGACACAGGGACAGACACACGGACATGGGGACGGACATGGGAACAGCGGGAGGGACAGACGGACACCGGGAACGGACACACGGACACGGGAACGACATGGGAACGGACACACGGACACGGGAACGACATGGGAACGGACACACGGACACGGGAACGACATGGGAACGGACACACGGACACGGGAATGACATCGGAACGGATGGACGGACGGACACCGAGATGGACACACGGACATGGGAATGGACACGGGAACAGCGGGAGGGACACACGGACACCGGGACGGACACGGGAACGACATGGGAACGGACACACGGACACGGGAACGGACACATGGACATGGGATGGACAGATGGACACAGGGACAACACGGGAACAGCGGGATGGACAGACGGGCACGGGAACGGACACGGGGATGGACACACGGACACGGGAACAGACAGACGGACACGGGAACGGACACGGGAATGGACACACGGACATGGGATGGACAGACGGACACGGGAACGGACACGGGAATGGACACACGGACATGGGATGGACAGACGGACACAGGAACGGACACGGGAATGGACACACGGACATGGGATGGACAGATGGACAGTGGGACAGACGGACGGGCACGGGAACGGACAGACGGACACGGGAACGGCGGGAGGGACACGGGGATGGAAACACAGACACGGGAACGGACAGACGGACAGCGGGACAGACAGACAGACACGGGGATGACATGGGAACAGCGGGATGGACAGACGGACACAGGGAGGGACAGACGGACACGGGAACGGACAAGGGAACGGACACGGGGACGGACACACGGACACCGGGAGGGACAGACGGACAGATGGACAGCGGGAGGGACACGGGGACAGACAGATACCGGGGCAAACGGACGGACAGACGGACACGGGGACGGACACACGGACCCGGACGGACAGACGGACACGGGGGGGGAGAAGGCGGGGGCGTCACGTGAGCTCCGGGAGCCCCCGGGAACTGGGGGGGGAACGGGGGAGAATTTGGGGGGAATTTGGGGGATTTTGGTCAATCCCGGCTGGGGGGGGAGGGGAGTTCGGGGGGGGATTCGGGGTGAATTTGGGGTGAATTTGGGTGATTTTGGGGTGAATTTGGGGTTATTTGGGGTGATTTTGGGGTGAATTTGGGGTTATTTTGGGGTGAATTCGGGTTTATTTGGGGTTTATTTGGGGGTGAATTCAGGTTTCTTTGGGGTGAATTCGGGCTGATTTCGGGGTGAATTCGGGTTTTTTTGGGGTGAATTCGGGTTTATTTTGGGGTAAATTTGGGTTTATTTGGGGCTGATTTCGGGGTGAATTCAGGTTTATTCTGGGGTGATTTTGGGGTGAATTCAGGTTTATTTTGGGCTGAATTTGGGTTTCTTTGGGGGCGAATTTGGGCTGATTTCGGGGTGAATTCAGGTTTATTTTGGGCTGATTTGGGGCTGATTTTGGGGTGAATTCAGGTTAATTTCGGGCTGATTTTGGGCTGATTTGGGGCTGATTTTGGGGTGAATTCAGGTTTATTCTGGGGTGATTTTGGGCTGAATTCGGGCTGATTTCGGGATGAATTCAGGTTAATTTCGGGGTGAATTCAGGTTTATTTGGGGCTGATTTGGGGCCGATTTTTGGGTGATTTTGGGGTGAATTTCGGGTTTCTTGGGGCTGATTTTGGGGTGAATTCAGGTTTATTCTGGGGTGATTTTGGGCTGAATTCGGGCTGATTTTGGGGTGAATTCAGGTTTATTCTGGGGTGANTCGGGCTGATTTTGGGGTGAATTCAGGTTTATTCTGGGGTGATTTTGGGCTGAATTCGGGCTGATTTTGGGGTGAATTCAGGTTTATTCTGGGGTTATTTGGGGCTGATTTTGGGGTGAATTTCGGGTTTCTCGGGGCTGATTTTGGGGTGATTTTGGGTTTATTCAGGGTGATTTGGGGATGATTTTGGGGTGATTTTGGGTTTATTCTCGGCTGATTTGGGGCTGATTTTGGGGTGATTTTGGGTTTATTCTGGGCTGATTTGGGGCTGATTTTGGGGTGAATCTCGGGTTTCTCGGGGCTGATTTTGGGGTGATTTTGGGTTTACTCTGGGCTGATTTGGGGCTGATTTTGGGGTGATTTCAGGTTTATTCTGGGGTGATTTTGGGCTGATTTTGGGGTGATTTGGGGCTGATTTGGGGCTGATTTTGGGGTGATTTTGGGTTTATTCTGGGGTGATTTGGGGCTGATTTTGGGGTGATTTTGGGTTAATTCTGGGCTGATTTGGGGCTGATTTTGGGGTGATTTTGGGTTAATTCTGGGCTGATTTGGGGCTGATTTTGGGGTGATTTTGGGTTTATTCTGGGCTGATTTGGGGCTGATTTTGGGGTGAATTCAGGTTAATTCTGAGCTGATTTGGGGCTGATTTTGGGGTGAATCTCCGGTTTCTTGGGGCGGATTTTGGGGTGATTTTGGGTTAATTCTGGGCTGATTTGGGGCTGATTTTGGGGTGAATTTCGGGTTTCTTGGGGCTGATTTGGGGCTGATTTTGGGGTGATTTCGGGTTTCTCGGGGCCGTACCTGCGGCGAGAGCTGGATGGGGCCGGGCAGCGGCAGCGGGGGGGTCCCGGGGGTCCCGGGGGTCCCGGGGGTCCCCGCGGGGGTCCCGGGGGTCCCGGGGGGGCCCTGCGGGAGCTGCGCCGCCGCCGCCGCCGCCAGGAGCTGCGCCTGCGCCAGCAGCTGCTGCGGGGCCGGGAGCAGCGCGGCCAGCTGCGCGGACGGACACACGGACACGGACACGGGGACGGACACGGGGACGGACCCACGGACCCACGGACACGGGGACGGACCCACGGACACGGACACGGGGACACGGACGGACACGGGGACACGGGGACACGGGGACACGGGGACGGACCCACGGACACGGGGACACGGGGACACGGGGACGGACCCACGGACACGGGGACACGGGGACACGGGGATGGACACGGGGACGGACCCACGGACATGGACGGACACGGGGACACCGGGATGGACACAGGGATGGACACGGGGATGGACACGGGGATGGACCCACGGACACGGGGACCGACACGGGGACAGAGGGGACACGGGGACACGGGGACAGACGGACCCACGGACACGGGGACGGACCCACGGACATGGGGATGGACAGACCCACGGACACGGGGACACGGGGACGGACGGACCCACGGACACGGGGATGGACAGACAGACATGGGGATGGACGGACCCACGGACACGGGGATGGACGGACGGACACAGGGACAGGGGGGACGGGGACAGACAGACGGATGGACACAGACCAGGACAGGGACAGGGACACGGGGATGGACAGACGGACGGACGGACCCACAGACACGGGGATGGGGACGGGGACAGGGACGGACGGACGGACAGGGACAGACAGACAGGCAGACGGACAGACACGGGGACAGAGGGGACAGGAGGATGGACGGACACAGGGACAGGGACAGGGACAGACGGACACAGACACGGGGACAGGGACAGATGGATGGACACAGGGACAGGGGGACAGGGACAGGGTGACAGTGGCGGTGACAATGACAGTGACACAGGGACAGTGACAATGACAGTGACAGTGACAGTGACACAGGGACAATGGCACAGTGACACAGTGACAGTGACACAGTGACAGGGTGACAGTGACAGTGACAGTCACACAGGGACAATGAACACAGTGACAGTGACAGTGACACAGTGACAGTGACAATGACGGTGACACAGTGACAATGACACAGGGACAAGGTAACAATGACAATGACACAGTGACACAGTGACAATGACAATGACAATGACAGTGACAGTGACAATGACACAGTGACAGTGACACAGGGCCGGGTGACAGTGACACAGTGACAGGGTGACAGTGACAGTGACAGTCACACAGTGACAATGACACAGTGACAGTGACAGTGACAATGACGGTGACACAGTGACAGTGACGGTGACAATGACAATGACACAGTGACAGTGACAGTGACACAGGGACAGTGACACAGTGACAGTGACAGTGACGGTGACGGTGACGGTGACAATGACACAATGACAGTGACACAGTGACGGTGACGGTGACGGTGACGGTGACGGTGACAGTGACACAGTGACGGTGACGGTGACACAGTGACGGTGACAATGACAATGACAATGACAATGACACAGTGACAGTGACACAATGACAGTGACACAGTGACAGTGACACAGTGACGGTGACGGTGACGGTGACGGTGACAGTGACACAGTGACAGTGACACAGTGACGGTGACAGTGACGGTGACAATGACAGTGACAATGACAGTGACGGTGACACGGGCCGGGGTGACGGGGTCACACGGAGGGGGAGGGGCAGCGGGGTCAGCACCAGCCCCAAGCCCCGCCCCCACAGCAGCGAAGCCCCGCCCCCAAATGTCCCAAAATGACCCAAAATGTCCCAAAATGACCCAAAATGACCCAAAATGTCCCAAAATGACCCAAAATGTCCCAAAATGTCCCAAAATGAGCCCAAAATGACCCAAAATGTCCCAAAATGTCCCAAAATGACCCAAAATGTCCCAAAATGACCCGAAATGACCCAAAATGACCCGAAATGTCCCCAAAATCCCGGGCACTCACCCCCGCCAGCTGGGACCCCGCCAGCAGCAGCTGCGCCTGCGGGGGCGGCGCCGGGGGCGTCACCTGGGGGAATCCCGGATTTGGGGCAAATTCCCGGGATTTCGGGCAATTCCGGGATTTGGGGCAATTTCAGGATTTGGGGCAAATTCCCGGGATTTCGGGCAATTCCGGGATTTGGGGCAATTCCGGGATTTGGGGCAAATTCCCGGGATTTGGGGCAATTCCGGGATTTGGGGCAATTCCGGGATTTGGGGCAA